GTCAAGGTGATGACTTTTAAATTGCTCTGCTTGTGTGTTCAAACACCATGAGGTTTAGAAACAGTCCATGGCAGCGATGTGGTTGTGTTTCACTGGGAGCAGGGCAGAGGCTGCCTGTGCCTCCAGAGAGTTGTTTTGTGTTTTTATGGGTGGGACAGTTTGATTTTGAATTTTGCATGTTTTTCAGAGTGAAAAAGTGCCTTTTCAAAGGGAAGGCAGTGGGTAACCCAGAGTCTGGGATCTTGGTAGCATTACCGTGGAAACAGGTGCTTTGTCCTCAGTGACTGATGGGTTTGGGAATTTAAGATCATACACAGTTTAGATTCCTACATGTTCTGTTCCTTCCCACTAACCCTCCACAACGTCGCCATGGATGGGAAGTTAAGGCGGCAGTTTATATTTCTGCCTAACAGTGAGCCTCCTCCCTGCTGACGTGCGGCACCATTGAAGCCGTGAGAGCGTAGATGAGTGAGCGCAGTAATGGGCTGCTGTGACTTAGCAGGCGGCTTTTATTTTATTGCAAGGCACACAACCATACACACGATGCATAATCATCAGCTTCTAAGCACAAGCTATAAATCATGTGCAGTAGCATAAAGAGCGTGTGAGTAGACTTCTGTCTCAGAGAAGAAAGCTGCCCTAGGGCAAGCAAGTTCATGCCCTTTGGGGATGAGATTTTTCATTTTGACGCTGAAGTTTCCAAACAGCTCGTGCTTAGAAAATAAGTCCGACTGAGTGGACACACCGCCTCGTCACGGGTTCTCCTTTAAAAGCTCCAGGTTAAAGCCAGCCGACGTGTTCCTTGCATCCCAGTTGCTCATCGGACGGCCCGATGCTGGATGAAGCCCCTGATGATGGTCACGCAGGCTTAAGAACTCTGTGTCTCAGTGATACCTCGTAGAATGAAACAATCGTCTCAAAACGTATGCGAATTTTCCTTTATTTTTTTTCAAACTTATCTTTCCAAACTATGCTTCCTTTTTAGTTTTAAGACTGGAGCTTTGACTTAACCCCTTTGCACAGGGGATGTGTCCAGATTTGTAAGAGTAATCAGAGACACTAACGGTGGTTCCGCTCTCCCCTGAGTAAGAATTACAGTTTTTCATCCTCATTGCTGCCTCCTGCACAATGTTTCATTTCTCTGCATTTTTTCTGACCCCTAACTAGGTCCTAAGCTTTCAGCAGGGAGAGAAGACGGAGTTCACAGAGAAAGCTGAATTCAGAGTTAGACACATGCAGCTCTCGTCCCAGGGAGACACAGCGGACAGTGCCCTGCTTGCTGTGATGGGGGACCAGGAACACCAAGAGATGGGGCATAGACGTGCACACCTGTCACACCCATGCACACGCACAGGATCATACACATGCACACACATGCACAGACACACACTCAACTCACACACACGCACACACACTTTTGACACAGAAATGCATTTGTGTAAGTGGTATTTTCCCTAACATACATGATTCACTTTATCATTCTTTCAAGTACTGGCCTGAGATGAATAGCCATCCTCTCCTCTTCCAGTTTGGGGAAACTGGTGCTTACAGCAATGGAGACGCTTGGACATCATGACCTCACGGGCACTGAGAGCTGCTCCTCTCTCCTGGGGCTGCAAACTTAGACACAAAGAGATGCAGGATGCACGGGCAATGTCTAGACTCCAACAATGGCAGTGGATCCTGTGAGCGTGAGTGGAATACGGATTTAAGGAGGTTTCTGTATTTCCCACATCAGTAGGAGCTGTTCCTGGAGCTACTCTCTATATAGTAGATAATGGCCAAGACTTTTAACCATGGGGTGAATCTCAACCACTATTTAAGCCATTCCTGGGTACATTTAATTACAAGAATGTAGGAACGCCTAGGAAAGTCAACGAAATATAAGAAGCGCTCGGAAGAACACTTCATTTTCATTAGGGAAAACCTCGCCTCGCTGCCCCCAGTCACCTGTGTGAGGAGTCGTGAAAATCTGGAGCGCAGACAGACACCATCACAGCACAATTCTGGGGCCCCACAGACAGACTCTTCCATGGAAGGCGCTTCCAAAAGGAGAGCGTCACACACACGAGAGAAGGTGCACGGTGAACAGGACTCACCGACGTAGTGACGTCTATGGCCTACGTGTTTTATTTTCCAATAAATTCCACAGGGGGCTACCCTAGTAACATACAAGCTTAAAGAAGAGACGGGTGTTATTTGTCAACTAGCCCTTTCCTCTGCCCAGGCAAATTGCAGAGAAAGCCATTTCCTCTGAGATCATAAGTTTCAGGGGCAAGAAGGAAGAATTTATGTCTTCTGGAAGTTTTAGCAAAACTACCCTCAACGTGCTGCCCGTGGGTGTTATCCCCAGCAGGCGTGCTCCTCACGGAACACAGCGCCAGGTGTGTCCAAGCACCACGGGTGACATAATGTCCCCACTGTGCCCACGATGAGGGTCAACCCCACTTCCCGCTAAAAGCCAGAAAGCAGCGTCTCAAGGTCTGCACGACAAGACGCCCTCCTCCCACGAAGAGGGAGAGTTTGGCGGTAGCCACACCTTCATAAGGAGATGCAGCTTGTAAACCTGCCTCTGCCAAGGCCACAGCCTGGGAGCCAGGTAACCACTGCTTGACTCATTAGCACGCGTTCTGAGCCCTGCTGAAGGACTAGCGGGCGCTCGGCGAGTCGGACAGAGATGGCGCCGTGACTGAGTCCTGGACAGAAGCTGACGCGGCAGCAAGACCTCTCAGCATCGATGGCTCGGGGACCTCGGGAGCGTGCCCTCCGGAAACTGCCCAGTGGGAAGGCCAGCCCATTCCTTATTTGCACATATACCATTATTTACAGGTGAAACTATAAATATATATATTTGGTGGTATTTGAACTTCATGTCTCAACATCAGGGCGTGCTTTACCATGAGATTATTTATCTGAAGAGCATGCTAAAAACAAACAAACCGTACTGTTCAAGAAGTGAAAGCATGTTGGAAACCGCCGTTTGCACGGTGAAATAGCTCCGTAAACATCGTGTAATTTTCTGCTACACGTGAGCAGCGGACACCTCCGGCGTGGGTGTCTTCGGCTGGGCTCCTCACCCCGCGTCACAGGAAGTGCGTGTCCACAGAGTGGAAAGAGAGCTGGGCACGGGCCCTGGGAACGTTCACCTTGCTGAGGCTGTGCTATCAATGTTAAGCTTCTGGACTGGATGCCCACGAAGCTCTGAAACCACTTTCTTTCCCTGTTTCCTAAATAGAGCTTTTGACACCACATTGCATAGAAAAGTCACAGCAGATGTGTCCTGAACTAAATCTAGGTAACCAGAAGGAAGAGGCTTGTTTCTTTGTTCATCAGAGGAACTTGGGCTCAGCCTTGCTTCCCCGCCCTGGAAGGAGGCTGAGTCTAATTGCCCAGACCTCCCGTGCGCCACCCCTGCAGGCTGGATGCTTCCACCGACCTGGGTCGCTAAGGCAGCCTGCATCCTATGACATCGGACCACGAGGTTTCTAAAGTTTGTTTAAAGTTCTACCTCTCCTTCTCAGACTGCAGTAGTAACCTGAGTTAGACATAGATCGTTGAGCTCCCCTCCACCTGGAGAACTACAAGAAGACATCTCCACGACTAGTCATACTGGTTTATTGATCCCATCCACATCCCTCATGTAGGTGGGATTCTGAACGGTATTTCTCACTCTGCTCGTGCTCTGTCGCTCCATCCTCATCTTAATGGGAAAGCAGAAGTCCCTGAAACACCGCTTGAAGTTTTCATCGAGAAAGGCATAGAGGATGGGGTTCAGGCTGCTGTTGGTGTACCCCAGGGCGATACAGAAGTAGTAGCTGGAGAGGGCAGCCGTGCTGTGGGAGGTGCTGCCCAGAGCCTCCACGAGGATGAAGATGTGAATGGGGGTCCAGCAGACGATGAAGACCGCCACCACCACCAGGACCAGCCTGGTGATCCGGCGAAGGTTGCGGTCTTTCTCTCTGGAGCCGGAGAGGAGCCGGACGCTCTTCAAGCGCAGGATCATCAGCGTGTAGCAGACGATGATGATGAGCACCGGGATCACGAAGGCAAAGACGAAGACGCAGATCTTCATAAACAGGTCCCACCAGGAGTAATCGTCGTCCGGGAACTGCAGGGAGCACTCGATGACATCCACGTCTGCAGCGGGTGACAAAACAAGACCGCAAAAGGAAAACCGGTTGTGATTACTGTGGCTGCCAAGTGTTCTGAATGTGAATTTTGATACCTTTGGTCGCCAAGGTCCAATCACGCTGAGGCGATATTCCCCAAAGCAGATCACCAAATTAAGAATGAATGCCATCTACATTAACCATCCGATCTTTGCGCATAGAACAATGAAGCCAGAAGGTCACCATTTATTGGTAACACATACAAGGCTTCAGAATAAATGAGATTAGCCAGGAACATGAGTTATCTAGTTGTGGAACTGGTTTGACATGGATGACTTTCAGAAGAGCTAATCTGCTCATTTATAGCACGAGTACTTGCCTGCATTTCCGTATATTACCAGTTCTCCCCGACCTAAGGCTCTGGCAATAAAAGCTAGTATCTCTTTGTGATAAGTGATCAGATATTTCCAATCTATCCTTTCCATTTAACAAAAGCCAACTTATCTGAAAAATATTAAATGGTTTACAAGAAATTATTATGTAGGTCAATGAAAATACAAGCAAAATTTTAAGTATGACCCAGCTGTGTGATTTAATGGAACCAATGGTGGTCATTGTGACAGAGCACTGCTAAAACACGAGCAAACTTTTGAAGAAGAAGGAGGAGGAGGAGAAAGAAAATAGAAGGGGAGGAAAATGAGGAAGAGAAGCATCATCACCATCAAGGAAATTCACAAGTCAGACACATTTTTCACTTTTGCAAACATCGACTAGGTAACAGGTAAGACAAATACATTGATATGATTACTTAGAAACCTGCTTTATTTGCTCTGCTTCTCTTTACCGGGTAGTATTCTCTTTGGAGTGGCCATAAGATTAGAAAGAGCAGAGAGCCAGGATAAGCACTTTATATCATACTTGCACTGGCGGCCCTCTCACCTGTCCAGGCTCCCCTGTCCCCAGGCATCAACCAGCCACACCTTTCCTCTTGCCTCTGAGCAGTCACTGAGCACGGAGCAGGCTACACTCTCTTTGTCCTGATCCTTCCTTACAGATAAAGGAATCAAGCAATACTAAGCTGTAATTTTTATAATGAAAATATTTTCTTCTGACATTGAAAAATATCTGTGTTAAAAATAGTACAATATTTTTGAATAACGAAAACAGCTCTATTAACAATGTTTTCTAAAACATCTTAATGTGCTCTTAATCATATATGCCTTAGTAAAACAAAATACATCTTCTTAGCATTTCAATTAGACATAATTTAAAATACAAAGAATATAATCATTTTGGCCAATTAATAAAGATGATTACCTTAAACTTATCTTTTATCAACTAAATACTAACTCAAAGCTCCCAGAATAACCTGTGATTTTTGATTCTCTGAAAAAGGTCATTGCCCAAAGTACTATTACTATGAAAACTGTAAGAAACAGACAAGCACCTCTCTTAATTTTTGCTTTAGTGTCTATGGGGAAAAGAACAGTTAAAACCATTTTTTAAAATCATTACTATTTTATAGAAGAAATGCACTTATTAACTTTTTTAGGGTGGCACATTGTAATCTAGCTAGCTTCCCTGAAGGTTTTTTCTTTCCTGATTTTGTATATTCCAACAGTGCCTCTTCTTGTGGTTGACTCAGCTTAAATGTCACTTTAGAGACATTTATACAGAGGCTGGTCTGTCTGAATAGTCCTCCTCCCTGCAACTTATATTCTGTCTACTTATTATACTTTATCTATTTTTTGTCATTACATAATGACAGAAGCTAGACAGGAGCCAGACAGAAGCTCTTCTGCAATAACGTGTTGCCTTTCCTAATGTTTTTCTCTCCATCCAGAATGTAAACTACCTTAGGGTAGGCACCCAATCCAGTCCTCCTTAAATACTGTTCAATCTCTGCCACATAGGGAGGCAGAAAAATACGGTGTTTGAGGAGAATAAATTGTTAAATAAATAAACAAATGAATACCACATGGAAACCCCTGAAGATATGGGCTCAATATAGTAGTTATTATGGGAGAGTAATCTGCTAAGATAAGCAAGGCCACATAAGGGCTGGTGTTGAATTTGGATACATCTTTTAACTCTGAGGATCAGCTTCCTCTTGAACAGTTATCTTGTACGTAGTGGGAGCTCATTAAATATTTAATGAATGGGTGAAATAATCAACTACAGTTGCTTTTACAAGACTTTGGAAAACACCCAGTGACAGAGGTGAAAATATCCTCAGGAAATGTCAGTGAAGCTGAATTTATAACAATAAGGAGAAAGGAGAATACTGAGGCAGCCACCAAGGAAATCCAAGTCCAAACACACCATTTCATTAAATGTTCTGTTTAGAGTGCATGTTTATCTTTAAAGACACAGTAGGCTGAAAGTGAAAGGATACAAAAAGATACCCAATGCATATGGAAACCAAAAGAAAGCATGAGAACCTAGCTGTACTTACATCAGACCAAATAGACTTTGAGTTAAAAACTGTCATAAGAGGCAATTTTATACAATGATGAAAGGATCAATTCATCAAGAGGACACAACAATTGTAAACATACATGCACCCAACATTGGAGCACCTAAATATATAAAGTATATATGAACAGAGCTGGAGGGAGACACTGACAGCAACACAGTAACAGGATGGATTTCAATACCCAGCTTTCAACTATGGGTAGATTATCCAGATACACAATCAATAAGGAAATGGGGGACTTGAACAGCATTATAAATAAAATTAACTTAACAGACATACACAAAACATGCCATTCAAGAGCAACAGAATACACATTCTTCCTAAGTGTGTATGAAACATTCTACAGTGTGTAGATCACACGTTAGGCCACAGAGCAAGTCTTAACAAATTTTAAAAGATTAAAATCATATCAAGTATCTTTTCTGACCAAAAGAAAACAGATACCTGTAACAGGAAGAAAACTGGAAAATTCACAAATATGTGGAAATTAAGCAACACACTCTTGAACAACCCAGGGGTCAAAGAAGAAATCAAAAGGTTGAGATGAATGAGAAAGAAAGACAATATACCAAAACTGGCAGGATGGAGCAAAAGCAGGTCTAAGAGGGAAGCTAATAGTGAGAAACAGCTACACTGAGAAAAAAAAGAAGGCTCTCAAATAAGTAAACTAACTGCACATACCAAGGAACTTAAAAAAAAGAACAAACTAAGTCCAAAAGTTAGTCAGGAAGGAAATAAGAAAAGATAGTCAGGAATAATGAGATAAAGGCTAAAAAAGAAAAAAGAGTTGGTTCTTTTTGAAAAGATAAACAAAAATAACAAAACCTTAGCTAGACTAAGAAAAAAGACAGAAGATTCAAATAAGCAAAATTATTTCATATTTTTTAAATGCTTCTCTAATAAAGTTTGGCATTTCTTAAAATTTACCAAGCGTTATAGCTGAACACCTGGAGTGCTTATGTGGGAAATTAATTTTATAGTTTAAGAGGAAAAGGATTATGCTTCATTTAAAAATGTGTATCCTGCAAGATAAGCTGGGGTTTTAGCGCTGCCCTTTTACCATGATCTGGAAGGTTCCTTCCGACTTATCTGTACTCGCAGGTATCATGAAACTCCCTAGTAAACTGGAGCATGTAGCCAAGTCTTAGCGCGATAGCCAGCACTGGTGAAGTCCAAAGTGATCATTCTGCTCCTCTCCGCTCTGTGAATCCCTGTTAAGCTCCAAGAGTTTGTCACAGCTTTCTCTTTTACTAGGAAAACAAAACTCCTAGAACGGTGGTTCTCACGTTGGTTGCGGGTCACAGGCACCTGGGGAGACTCTAGCATCTGGACAACCAGACTGTGCCTCAGGTCAATGAAGCCAGACCCTCCGGGGTGGGACCCAGGCAGCAGTATTTTCTAACGCACCCAGGTGATTCCAACACGCAGCCTGGGGTGAGAACCATGGTGCAAGAAACACAGGGAAAACATCAAGTATACAGTATGCATGGGGTAAAAAGTAATGAGTCCAAAGTCTGATGGGTTTGCTCATCCGTACTACCTCCATCCGTGAACCTGCCTGTGAACGGCCGACAGCCAATGAAGCTTCGTGACAGTGGTGAGGAGATTAACGCCTAAGCAAGAGAGTGGAGAGCAAGCGTGTGGCTCTGATTCTGGGCCCTTTTTAGGGAGAAAGAAGAGGAGCAAGGAGGTGGATCAGAACTGCCAGGATGCAACAGAAATGTATTTTAAAAATCCACATTACAAAACAGAAACAGACTCACAGACGTAGAAAACAAACTTATGGTTACCAGGGGAGACAGTGGGCAGATAAATTGGGAGTTCGGGATTAGCAGATACAAATGTCTATATATAAGACAGATAAACAACAAGGTCCTACTGTTTATACAAGGAACTACATTCAATATCTTATAACAGCTTATAATGAAAAAGAATATGAAAACAAATATGTACATATGTATAACTGAATCACCATGCTGTACCCCCAGGGAACCATATTCAGTATCTTGTAATAGCCTATGATGAAAAAGAATATGACAACAAGTATATGTGTGTATACCTGAATCACTCCGCTGTGCACCAGAAATTAACACAACATTGTAAACCGACTAGACTTCAAAAAAAAAAAAAAAAAAGAATCCACACGCCTGCGGCTCGTTACCTCATCCCACCTCTCCAGATCCTGATCTGCGCTTTCTGAACAGGACATGGGCTGGGTGCCTGCGTTCTGGCCACACCATTATCCCATCCTGCATTTAGATGTGGAAAGGAACACAAAATTGTTTCATTTCTCATCTTCCGTGAAGGTGGGCATTACATTTCCTTTGGCTTCTGGCTTTCTTTCTAGGTATGTGTCCTCCTCACTCCCAAATTAAGAGTTTGTGTAATGAGAAGTTACATTTTTAAAAATGAAATGATATAACTGAACCACTCTGCTGTACACCTGAAACTGACACAATGTTGTAAATCAATACAAAATATTTTTCCTTTTATGAACAATCACAAAATCAATAACTTTAAAAGGCGAGAAAGAAATGAGAACAGCTGCCCTTACCTTCCCTGACTTTGGTCCCTCCGAGGACAATGGCAGATATGCCAACGGAGGAAGACAGGATCCAAATGCAGACATTGATGATCTTTGCCTTCATGGGCGTGCGGAAGTCGAGAGCCTTGACGGGGTGGCACACGGCGATGTAGCGGTCCACACTCATCATGGTCAAGGTGAAGATGCTGGTGAACATGTTGTAGTAGTCAATGGAGATGACGATCTTGCACAGCACGTCCCCAAACGGCCAGGAGTTCATCAGGTAGACCGTGCTCTGGAAGGGCATGGTCGTGGTGACCAAGGCGTCCGCCAAAGCCAGGTTAAATATGTAGATGTTGGTTGCTGTCTTCATCTTCGTGTACCTGAAAGACAAGAAACAAGACCACTTCCCTCCGTTGTCATGTCACACCCATGAGGTAAATGTGCCTTCCAATCACTGAGCTTGTTTTTCATTCACTTCTTCTTTACGTATTTATCATCTAAGATTAAAGGGCTGTTCTAGACATTGGGGGTAGTAGAAAAATGGGCCAAAATGTCCTGACTTTATTTAGCTTTTATTCTGGTACTTTGTTCCAAAATATGTTTAATTTTAAAAAGTAAAGAAATTACTATAGATAAACAGATCAATATGCGTATAGATCTTTTCAACAAGACTTGCATGCAGTACGGCTCTTTATTTTGTGACTGACAGTTCATTTTAATCCTACCTTTGATCACTTTTTAACACTTTTTTTTCATTGCATGAAACAAAGATAAAACCTACCCCTTTTCCTCAAGGTTACTTTGAGACAATCAATCATGGTAATTATGTCTTTTGAAAATGCAAAATGGTTTTCTTTACTTTTTTTTTTAACTTCACTTCATTTCAATGACTAGAACAACTATGTGCTGATTTTTATTTACCAGGGTCCCACTAGCCTCTCACTTCAGATGCATTACGGAAACAGAGCAGGCTGGGTCCTCTCACACACGGCCCAGCACTAAACACCGCCGGGTCCCACAGGTGAGAGACAACTTGGTTCTCCTTCTCTCATCCCGGGAGATTAGCAAAGCACACAGGTTGTTTCATCTTCCAACTGAGGGAACAGAAATTTTCGAAATAGGTCAGAAAGATTGCCTTTAAGCCCAAATCATGCCTTTCCATTTTCACATGAAGTTTAGAACAACTCCATTTTCAACTGAAACTGAACTAAGAAGATTGCTTCACTTAGGAGATGTGTCCTCATGGATCCTGGGGCGTGAAATGTTCCCAACTGCACTGCAGGTTTTCGGAGGCCAAATGCTAAGGTATGCTGGGAAAATCCACATGTTAATTACTGTCTACACACCTCAGCTTGTGAACCTAATCAGAATTAATTCAGCCATGCCCCATGCACCATCACGGAGCCAGTTTTTCCTCGTTAGGGCCTGACGTTTACTAAGGTTATTTATAAGGAGCGGACTATGGAAAGCCACCCCTGCTTTGGCTGCCGAGTCAACACCACCAGCGCCTGCTGATCACTGTGTGGGTGTCGTTTCCGCTCAAGAACCTTCTGCTACCGCGCGGAGACCGAGCAGCCTCGGCTCCCCCGGGGGGCACTGCGGGCTGAGGTCGAGTCAGGCAGCCCCGAGTCTGAACTCAGTACGTGACTTAGTTCTGAGTTTCAGCTCCTGTGAAATGAGGCTAACAAAACCGAACTGGCGGGACACAGGCAGACGCCCCGCCTCACCCCACCCCCAGGGTCGCACCCCCAGCCCGGCTCCCGGCCTCACTCCCCCTCCTGCCGGCGCTGGGATGAAGGCGCTGTAAACGCGGGCACAGGAGTCCTTATCTCTGGGTTTCTGTTTTGATGCTCTGCTAACTAAACAGTGCTTTGATCTGAAGAGTGAGGAGTTTATTTTAAAATATGTCTTGCCTTTAGTTTTCACCCAGATATTATCATGTGGCCCGTAAGTTTTAGGAAGTGAACGACTGTGTGTGCCCAGGGCTCCGGGCATAGGCGCTTAAAGGCACGGATAACTAAGCAGGGGCACTTCCTGAGAAGGAGCCAAATGCTTCTAGTGAACAAGACTAAAATGCTATCTGTTCAAGTATTGTCTTCCTAAAACTACGGTTTTATGTTTGAAAAATGCATCTTAAAAGCTGGCCTCCTACTCGTTCAGCTTCCTCCCCCAAATCCCTGATGCCAGCAAAGACTCGAGCAGCCAGTACCTCCGACTCCTGCTCTCGGGTTTTGTGACCGGAGAGTCTCCTCTTTCTCTGCAAGTTAGACTGCGGTTCTCCGCCTGGTACACCCAGGCAGCCCTGGCTTCTAGTCCTTGGTCTTCCTTCCAGCTGATGGACTTTGGGGAGGTCACTGAAAGCCCCGAGCATCGGCCTCCCAGCTACAGAATGCGGACTATAACACTCATTTCATGGAGCTCCTGAGATCGTTAGGGGAGGCCCCTGATCCGGACGCCAGGCCTGATTTATCCCATGTTCCCAGCTCCTCTCCCCTTCTTATGTGGGTGGAAGCCACCAGCTCCCACGGGAAGCAGAAGGGAACACAGTTCCTAGCCAACACCCCTGGTCGTATCTACTGATTTCAGCTTGAATATGAGAGATAATAGTAAAATTAAGCCTGGCTGCTAACCTTAACTGCCAGAAGACAAGAATGGAAGGATACATGATTCCATGAATCCATAAATGTGTTCTATTTACAATGAAATAGAATTTGCATCATTTAAGTGGCCACAAAATGCTAAATGAGAACTTGCTCTTAGCATTTTAAAAATACTTTTAACAACTGGATGTGTGAAACTGCTTAAGGCTTGACCTTATAAAGAGTTCACATGCTGTCATCAGATCTCAGAATAAGACAGATGACCACCTAAAACAGAGACGTCTACAAATTACACAGACGGTAATTACACTAATTACAAAAGTCCTTGCTCCCAGGGAGACCAGTGCTGCTCAGACCCTGCCTGCCCAGCTACCACCGTTACCGCCCCCGGGGCTGGAGGCATCTGCCGGACACACAAGACGTGCCTGCACCTCCTGCTGTGGTGACCCCTGCATCCGCCAACATCCCAGTGTCCCGGCATCGAGATGGATCACGCTAATGACAAGAATCATAATAACCATTTCATTCAGAACACTCCCTGTGTCAGACTCTGCTGCACGGCCCACACGCTTTACCTGGCTCAGTCCTCACCGTGTCTCCACGCGGTCGGTACCAGCACCCCGGCTCTAGATGCGAGCCCCCGAGACCGCAGGAGCTCCGTAAATTTCTCAAAGTAACATGGTTGTGAAAGGCACTGCAGGAAGTCAAACCCAGGGGTTTGCCCGCAGGCCCTGCATTCGTCCGTCTCCCCAGGACTTTACAATGTACCGTGCCCAGCGTTTTGACTCCATGCATCTTATTTGATTCTCACCGCAACTGCCCTTGAGCTGCCCACGAGCTTTACGTCTTTCCCCTAACTCAGCTGAAGAAAGTGGACCCAGGTGAGCGAAGTGATTTTTCCAGTGTCTGCAAAGACAGGAGCTCAGTGGGAGGATGTGGGGACTCAGCAGGGCCCACCCCCCACCCCAGGGCTCTGGAAGGCAGGCGCTACACGCCCACAACACTGAAAGGGAGAACCGAACAGACACAGTTAAAAGTATCGCACGGACTGAGTTAAACAAATATTTACTGACAGTTTTTATGGGCCCCTCTGGACTGGAACCTGTTTAGCCAGGAGGATGAGATCCCTGCCCTCGGAGGCAGCCTGGCTGAGCCCTCAGGGGACCGTCCGTGTTTAGCTAAGACAGACCGGCAGTCAGACCTCTCAGTCGTTGCGCGCCTCCTGGCGCAGACAAGTCAGCTTTCTCGCTGCACTCAGATACGAAATGATTTTCCATTTCATCCACAAACACTCGCAAGTATGCCAAGCAGATCGGCGCCATCTGATGGGTAGTCTCGGCGGGCGGGTGCACTTCTCGACGTGCACACCACCAGAGCGTGTGGCATTAAAAGAGCAAAGTCTGCCAGCTGTCCCCGCTAAATGTGTCAGTGTCACCAACCCGGAAATGACACGGGGTGCGGGCAGCCGTCCAGGAAGAGGGCTCAGGAGGGAGCTCAGGGCACCAGCCGTGAGGTTGTCCCGGCAACGTGCTAGAGGGTGTGCCTGTGAGCTCACAGGGCTCCCATCGCACGTGGACCCAAGTCCTTCCTCGCACCGCCCTCTTCCCAGGGGACTGCGGGCGGCTTCAAACTTGGGCGAGAGTGGGACATGAAATACAAGCCTTATGAATAGTCACCAAACTGCAGCTGCAACGTCACGAAAAAGCAAACAGCCTCATGGCCCTTCTTCTGAATAGACTCCCTTCATACAGCAAATACCCAGCCGCTGGGAGAAAGCGCCTGGACAAGCAGCTGGTCTGGGGGAAAACGCATGTGACCAGACGCCCCTGCCCACGGGGAGCTGGCAGCCACCCCACGACCCCGAGCTGCACCGAACACCGACTCAGGAGCGGGAGGGTCTGCAGCACCTCGGATAACGCAGCCCCTTCCCAACCAGCGGCGGGAGACGAGCACAGTGAGAGCTGGGTTTCGGCACACTTTTCTCTGCACGATTGATTCATCCACCTGGGCATGTTTTCCAGATACAAAGCATTCTAGATTTTAGGATAAAAATGATCAGAAATGATGGCTGCAGGGGGGTGAATTCTCAGGAGAACATATCTGAAAGCACGCTGCCTCTGCTGCCTCACATTCTCCACGCACTTCCAGTTCATTCAGTGAAATTAACCTGCGTGGATTGTTTCCTGCTGAAATTATGGTGCTTTACTAACGGACAGTGGCTTATTAATTTTTTTAAAAAAGAAGGGAAATCCAGCCATTGTTTCTCCAATGATCTGACTTTGAAATTGCCTCTACCTCTACCACTCTGAAGGAGGCACCAGGCCCCTGAAACGCTCCCACAGGCAAAGAGCAAAAGCTGTAACCAGAACAGAGGAGGGGCGGGGCTTGTCCCCCAGTGACGTACAGCCAGGAGGGCGCACAGGCATTGCCCCGCGCCCGGATGGGCTGTCCTTGCGTGGCGGTGCGGGGACAAAGGGGAAGCAGAAGTAATGATCTCACTGCAAAAGCCAGGACCCCAGCAACGCTCCTTCACCCTGCAGTCACGGCCCTGCCCCCCAGAAGGAATGTTCTAGTGCCTTCTGTGGGGCACGCAGGGTGAGTGTGCATCCTGCCCAAAAACACTCAGTAGAAAATGACAAATGTCAAAAGACTGACAAGTTCTTTCCTAGTGTACAACTACCTGGATACCCAGATGGATACAGAGTTCTTACATGATTTTTCCGCCTTTATGCAGAAACCTGGCCTAGCTAAGGTGAGCCGCAGGGTGCCGCAGAGAGGCC